CTAACAAAAATTTTTTAAAATAATAATCGTCGCTATTGTATCGTTAAAAATTAGAAAATTAAGCCTCGTTTAAATACTGGCTCCCTTTCATGGTCGAATGAGTGTTGCCAGCTAAAACACGTAAAAATAATATTAAAGTAGCCGAGACATAGCCAAATATTGTAGCGCCACATCACTAGTGGACATTTGAAATTTGCCGACTAGGACGGTCGGTTAATCGGGGGTCGGATAATCGAGGCTCTACTGTAATATAAGATTAGTTTATGTTGTTTTCATTTGAGATACATCTGACATGTAATGATTTCTAAAAGTATTTAATCACTTTATTTTATATTTATGAAATATCTTTGCTAATATTAATGATATATTTCCAGACACTCTTATTAATAAAACTTTAATTTTTAAATGCAGTTGAATCGTTATTTTTTATTTAATTAACAACTTAGTCACTTACCTTTTCCTTTCTTCTCAAGATATCCACATTTTTCAGATTTAACTAAATCCGATGCCACAACAGCTGGTGTTTCTTTTTCTACAAAATATTTATCAATCAACGATTAGATATTTACAAAATATACTTTTTAATCCATAGATGACATACCTTCTTCCATAGAAACTTCTTCAGTATCATTCATAGATTTACTTTCTGGTAGATTTTCTTTAGGTATGTAATTTTTGTCATTATTACATACTTCGTAATCTTCATCAACAGGCTCTGGAAATTTAATTTTATCATTTTCATTAAATAAACATATAAAGAATTACTAAAGAAATATAAAAATCATCATTTGTAGCTTTAAAAAATAAAAATGCTAAGTTAATCTTTTGCGTATCATAGATCTAAATAAAAATTTACCGTTGAAATGAAAACAACAAATAATCATTCTTACACATAAAGAGAAGTCTAAAGTGAAGTTTTTTGTTTTGTTTTTAATAATGCTTGGAGTTATAATTACAAGAGTGATTAATTTACTGTTGGAATATGCTGATACGCCAGATTACAATTTGCTATATCTGGCTAGCTTCTCTGAACCTTTCACAGCACTTTTTTTGAAATAGCATGTTAACACCTTTGGCATTTTTATTTTAAATGATTCATTCATATAAACTAACACATATTTTAAAATTTAATGTTAAATTAGTATAAAAATTATCATTACTATGCAATTATTTATATTCTGAACAATGTTATATAGTTTGAAATTATCCATTAAAAATTTTATTTACTACTAAGTGAGAAGTAGGAAATATTTTCAATCTATAACAGAGTAAATTATAACGTACTTGCTAATTTAAGTAATTCTTCTCTAAAAAGAATAAAAAATTAATAAAATGTGAATATTTTTATTCAATTTATAATAGGAAAATTCTGTTTTAACTTATTATTTAAATTTTGCGTAAAATATAGTCAGGTACTTTAGAATTTATACATACAGTCAAACTCCATTATTATGTTATTGGTTTATGCAAGGTCCACATTAATACAAATTAGATTTGCAGTCCCTTGGACAATAAAGGATAGGGATTTTAATGTTAGTGAATTTGGTTAATATAAAATGCCAATTTTTAAGTCTCTTTTGCTTTGTAGTAATGAGATTTGACCGTATATTAAAATTATATAAAAATTTACTTGATATTATTCAATATGTTGTCTGACTATTTCAGATTTCTATTTACAAAAATATGGCATTCATTCTTGATATTCTTCAAACATATACAAATATAACTCAACATGACTTCAGTTATGAGTGTTTTTCAACCTTTTTCTCATCACATACCGGTAAAATTATGGATAATTTTATGCAAGCCAAGTAATTATATGTAACTATGAGTAATGCTTATTTATTAAGCTTATCTAGAGTTACTGTAGGTAACAAAATATATTCAATAACTCTAGATTTCTGTTTAAATGTCATCCATAATCAACTGCACCAGCTTTAGTACAGTGAAATATTTTTCTGAGGACCGAAGAAATTCTTTCACGGACTGGCACAAATCCAGGACTGGTGATTGAAAAACACTACCATAGAGCTTTCACAGTAGTTGTATTCACAAACAAAAGGTACAAACAGTTGAAATAAAAATCATGTATGCTATTAGCCATATAACTGTACACACAATCTCACTCTCTACGCCCTTCGTAAGGACTAGAAAAAAATAGCATTATTAAATATAATATACAGTAAAACTTCTCTAACTCAAAGAAAACGAACACTCGGTAGGCTCAGCAAAACAGCATAGGGATTTAATGTCTCCGAATTTAATTTTTTAACTTGAATTTTCTCATGGTCCCAGACACTGATTTATGTTACTTTCAACATTCAACTCGAAATTTAATATTGATGCTATCCAAAGTGATACTAATTATCGAATTTCCATGAAATTTTCAGACTGTGGTATCTACTCTCCAACATTCATTTTCAGACAACATTCCAGTCCAAAATGAGAGGTCCACTTGCTTTATCTCAACATGATGTATGTACAGTACTGTACCTGCAAGACTGTTCAATTCAACATCCAAGCTACATTGAATGTTTTGCTGAAAGGCATTACATGGGTTGTTTAGAACAAAAAAAACTATCAAAGATTTTTTTATATAATGTAAGAAAGGTAAAAATACAGATCTATTCAAATTAGGCATTTTTTACTCTATTATTCTCTAATTTGAATCATCTGTAACTCTAAGTTTTTTTTTCTGCCCCTTGGAGCTTCAACTTACAGAAGTTTTACTGTACAGTACATTGTTTTGTAATTATTGTTTATATTCACATTAGAATAAAATTTGGTACGATATTTTTGTTGTAATCACGTGACCTGTTTTACTATCTGGCATTGTGTTTTTGTTTATGTATATTATGTCAGACTTCAACCAGGCTGTTAGAATGCAGGTCTATCATAAGTTGAGGTATATCTGTACACAATAGAGAGGTTGCAGCCGATGTTTTCAATGCAAAAACGTGTACGTCGGACGTTCAGCGCTGCCTTCCTGTAAGCCTAGAAGTTTGACAATGGCGTTTGGAACGTCGAGTATGATTCCACTGACATTCCAAATGACATTGTCAAACTTCTAGGCTCACAGGAAGGCTGCGCTGAATGTCCGACGTACACGTTTTCACAATGAAAATGTCGGCCGCAACCTCTCTAATAACTGACTAAAAATTCTACTAGATATCACCTTATTCCAAATATTTTACATCTTTTGTCTTTCTAAGATAGAATAACAAAGACAAAAGAAAATAAAATCATTATGTTATTGAATAAACATAATTTAATAATTCATACCATTAGTTCCTGTTGTATTTCTGTTTCCTTGCATATCAACATAAGGAGGAGGACTAGATGGAGGATTAGGTGAAGAGAGAATATCTCCATTTGATCCATATCGATTTGATGACAAAGATTTGGATATAATAGTTAACTGTGGGTAATCTTGTTGCAAAACAGTCAATTTTGTGAGGAGACTTTCTTTACGTGACAATGCTTCCATTGACAATATCTCTTTATTGAGAATCATTAGGAAGTTTTGAACATCTATATACATAAAAAAAAAATAATAATACAAATTTTTATAAATGAATATTTATTAATACTTTAAACTTGTAAAATTCTAATTCTNAGAGATAGGTAGTTAAAAGAAAGCTAAATACAATTTTTTTCAGTCATTTATATTTTGTAATTCATATTTGTTTTAAATGAATATTTATTAATAGTATTTGAGTAGAGATAGGTAGTTAAAAGAAAGCTAAATACAATTTTTTTCAGTCATTTATATTTTGTAATTCATATTTGTTATAAATGAATATTTATTAATACTTTAAACTTGTAAAATTCTAATTCTTGAAAAATTTATATGGATTAGACATTAGATAGTTTGCGGCCGACGTTTTCAATGCGAAAACATGTACGTCGGACGTTCAGCGCCGCCTTCCCGTGAGTCTAGAAGTTTCACAATGGTGTTTGGAACGTCAGTGGAATCATGCTTGATGTTCCAAATGCCATTGTCAAACTTCTAGACTCACAGGAAGGCGGCGCTGAACGTCCGACGTACATGTTTTTGCATTAAAAACTTCGGCCGCAACCTCTCTATTATTTACAACAAACAAGTATATGAAGTTTTAAACAATCAAGCATTTACATTAATCAATAATACAGATTATAATATTGATTACAAAATGCAGAAGATAATAGAAAAATTATATTTTGAAATATAAAGATAAAATTTTTAAAATTGTGAAAGCAAATTTGATATAAAACACAACACAAAAAATAAATGACTATAAACATAGCCAAAATTGCATATGTATAAAAATCATTGAACTTTTTTGTATTTTTAGCACCTTTATTAATTACGTATTTTAATTTTCGTAAAAGATCAAAGATTCTAGACGCGTACACAAAGATCAAAGAGAACAATGTTGAACTGTGAATAAGCAAGAATCGCTGATTTATGAAGTGAAAAAGAATTGCAAAATTTATTTTAAAATATTAGATTACAAACACACATTTAAGAAGCTGATAGTAGTAGTAATGTAATGTCAAAACGAATTGAGAATTTATGCTTACAAAAATCATATCCTTCAATAAGAACGGAAGTAGCCATTCTCTTAATAAGAAAATTATTAAGAGGCTCTTCTTAATAATCTCTCTCTTATAAGAAATTTTATTGAATTTATCTTGTTAATAAGAAATAATATACATGTAAACTGGATGAGGAAACAATGTTTCTGACATCTATTAAACCTAATTACTAAGAGAATAAATGCAACATCGATCAGAAATATATTCAACTAGTTGCAAAACCCCCGCAACTTTGCCTGTGGGGGTTTTGTAAGCAAACTCCATTTATATTCAGTATTTCAACAACCATAGTAATTGTTATATAACACCTACCGCTGAGAATCAAACGAAGTATTTTCAATTTGATCAATTTTCTGGAATGTTTACAATCATTCTATGATCGAACCAATATGCAATAACAGATTTGAATTTAAAACGGTTCGAACATTTAGTTAAAAAATCAAAATATATAAAAATATTTATGACAATGTCTGAAATGTTATCAATTTAATGCATCTAAGTACTCAATAAAGACTAAACGCAGATAAAAACAAAAAATTGCATCTAAAATAGTACAGTAGAAGCCGTTCTTTCGGTTAAGCCTTAATGCTCTCCCTCTCCCCCGCGGAGGAATTTCGAAAAATCCCTTCTTAGCGTGTGTTTTCATGACATACCTTAACTGTATACCAAATTTTGTCTCTTTAGGTTCAGCAGTTTGCTCTGGGAGACGATGAATCAGTGGCTCAGTCATTCAGTCAGTCAGGACAATTAATTTTATATACGAGGGCTATTTTTTAAATAAGGCCCATTTTTTGACAAGAAGAAAAATACTGTAAATATCATTAAAATATATTTTTCCCATATTCTACATACTTTTATCTACTTTTCTACATAATTTCCATTTTTGTTCAAACATTTGTCATATGCTCAAAAATTTTTTAAATTCTGACTTCAAGGAAATCTGCCGCCTTCCACTGGAAGACATTAGACCACGCCGCTTGTCTCGTATGGCATGGCAGAGTTTTCTCAAGCTCACAATAAGCATCAGAATTGATTGTTGTGCCTCTTGGCATAAAATCCACTAACAAAGTCCCTTTCCTGTCCCAAAAGACAGTTATCACAATCTTTCGTGCTAAAATCGAACAACGGATCGTATCTTACAGTCGGCGGGCGACTCAATTTTCTTAAACATTATAAACTTCCACAGTTCAGCACACAGGTTGCAAATGGCATCTAAACACGATACGAGACGATAGAGAGACGATACGGTTGCAAATGGCATCTAAACACGAGCAAAGCATGCTGAAAGCAGACGCTCGTGCACACTGCTGCAATCGCACGTCATTCTCACTCTCATTCACAAATGGACTTTATTTAATAAATAGTCCTTGTATTATCATAAATTAGATCTATTTCTAAAGATAGATACCATTATATGGATTAGAGTGGATATATTTCTAACTAGTACTAAACAGTAGAGTAAATATTTCTGATTGATGTTGAATGAAGTAGTGGTTTGCATATTTGTAATGCTTTAATAAGATAAACTCTGCTCACAAAATCTTCTTCAACACACTAAAAATAAATGCTTAGAAAGTCAAATTTATACAAAATTTTTCAATAATCATTTCATAAATTAAAAGTCAACCATTTTTTGTTATCATACTTTTAATATAACCGAATTTTACTTTTAAAAAAAATCGTAAATTCTTCAAACATCTATCGCATTATAAAATTTTTTTGAATTATCATTTTTGAGGTATTCAATAGAAATCTATTTTAATTTCTTTACTTTTAAAAGCTTAACAACAAAGATTAAATTCTTGATAAATTTAAAATTAATATTCTCAGGATTCGATTCTTATCAATAGACTTGATCTTCCCAGTCATAGGAAATAAATATAAAAAAAAATGTTATAATTATGAGATTTTACAGCATATAACATTATATATATTAAATAATAAATCTTTTATCACGATATCTAAAATTCAAACAACATTATTTAAATTTTAGATATAAATACTAAATATTTTTATGATCTTAAATTGTATGTATCAGGGGAAAAAATAATACAAACGCAACTAATAATCACTCTCCAGTTTAACTTTTTCCCATTTAAATAATAAAAGATCTACGACATACTGATTATGGAAGTTATTGCATTTCCTTGATGTATGATTGCCAGACATCCTTTATTTTAATTAAACTGTTCTTATCCATTATTGAAACGAGAAAAAATATAATTTGTCCTTTATTTTCATTTCTTAATGTCTGTGTTTTATAACGACAGTAATGAATTTTTGCCTATCCTTTTATATAAGCCAATAATCTTCTCCGTAGAAAGCTATGTTTTTACCATTAAATATTTTAAACTCTAAATTAAACTAAAAAAAAAAAAAAAAAATAAACAGAATGTTTACTTATTAACTAAAAATTTATCCAATATTACTTTCTTGTAGCAAATGGATTAGAGTGAAAATTGGAGAATGAATCCAGCCATAGAAACCTACCAACATGTCTTGACCTGTCGCATTTCTTATACTAAACTTTTGTTAAAATTCTACACCCAGTAAGCTAGAACTTCTATACATAAGCTTCAAAACACCTCTCTCTCTCTCTTTTTTCTAGCAAATTCTTTAATTAAATCAACTGAATTAATGTTTTTGGTTATCTTAAATGGACTGATTAACCTAAAAAAGGCCATTTAAGATAACTGAACTAAAGTTTTCAGCTGATTTAATTAAAGAATTTGCTAGAAAAAAAAAGAGAAAGGTGTTTTGAAACTTTATCAAAATTACGCCATAAAATTTGTTTTACCAGGCGACTACAGAAACTTAGACGCAAAAAGATTATAATTTATTCGTCCAAACTTCGAAAGGTTTTTAAAAACATTTACGACAGCGAATACGATGTATCAAATCCATTCACAATACGATCATCTCGTGCGCATTAATATAAGAGTGGGTTGATAAATAAACAACCATGCCATTATTTTAGCAAAGAACATTAAAATATTGGATTAGGCTCCATCACTCTCCTTATCAACTCTATGTGCTGTTTTTTTTTTCCACCTGTTGTAATTATCGCAAAATAATCTCTTGTATATGTTATATGTCTAAGTTTACATCTGTATGTATTTCTCTGTATATTAATCCACAATTATGTAATCACAATACTTTTTTTGGTGTATTCTATTACCTGCCGCATATCTTATGTTTAACACCAGTTATTAATATGTATCTTGTATTCGGCATTTTATATTTTGTAACCTGTTCTTTTTAATAAATTCCCCATGCGGCGCACAACCTCCCCTTCCCCTTCTCCTTAAGGCTGGTATACATGGTAAGGAAATCCTCAAAGGATGTGCTTAACAGACAAAAAAAACTCGGATATAACTGGCTGGATCGAACATAGTAATTTACAAAACTTATTAAAATATCTCCCAACGTATAAAGAATTATTTTTATTTAAAAATGGATAGATAGAAAAAAAAAATCACGGTTAATCCTCAAAGGATTTCCTTACCGTGTATACCAGCCTTTACTCTTCAACATTTTCACCCTCTTGGCCCCTGCCACAAATCTCTCTCTCATTTTTCCCTTGATATTTTTCTCTCACCCCCTTTTAAAGGCTATACCTACGAGTACGGCCTTCTTCCCTTTCCTTATTGTATTGTATTGCCGTCACTTTCTGCCGATTATTTATCGATCCACCGTTATAAAAAAATACTTGTGATTTTTGAGTCAGACCGTTCGGGTTCTTCCGGATCTGCCGACGAGTGGATGTTACGTTATTACGAGAGATCCGCATGAAAAAAATTGGATATTCACAGTTATTATTACTTTATTTTTTTTTAATGCTGAATCATATTACCTCGACTATTTTTCACATCCAATCTATCTACTCGACTCTATCACATCCTCATTCTGTCATTGAGTAAATTCAGTATAAATATATGGAATATAATGTTATAATGATAATATAATCGAAATTTTACGCATTTTTAATTCAAATAATCGTGAAATATTTCCTATATCCGTACATTAAAAGTTTTATTTTCTTATCTAACTGAATTAATTAACGAGGAAGACAATTTTCCAGAAGGGCGAGTCTTCTACGAATCAATTAATTCGGGAAAAAATCATCTACAGTTCATCAGAACGTAAAATTAAACAATATTTAATAAACATACTGTAGTAGTTTACTTTAGTTAATTTATCCATAGACACACATACGAGCATTTAACTAAAAGTAATGCCTACTAACATATACGTAAGAAATTCAATTAAAATCATTTCCTTGTCTTACCTTCTAACAATTCTCGTACAGATTCGTGAAACTTTGACATATTTACGTATTAAATAACAAAAAACATAAAAATATTCGCTTAAAAAAATGAATTAAACTAAAGCGAAACTCATTGACGAAGACGATTAACTTTCGTCGTTAACTCATATTCCCAACTCCCCCTGGTGAGCGGAATTTAAAAAATAATAATAATAATAAACAAAAGAATAAATTAAACATTATATTTATTTATTCTTAAATTAATTTATATTAATAAATAATAAGTTTGATAAAGATTTATAAATGATTTTCGAAATGATCAGACAATGAACTTATTGTTTATTATAGAACAAATGGGATCGTAGCGTTATCTGTGACGAATTGTCATTCTGTGTGGATTAGGCGATGAAAATCGAAGTTTCATTCGATTTTTAAGAGAAAATTAATTAAATTACCGATCGTTTATAAGGTAAAGGGCTATTTTAAAGGTAAACTGAACATTTTTTTTCTTACGTTTTAACGATTTATTTATTTATTTATTAAATTATTAATCTATTTCGATGCATTAATCAATTACAAACACGAGATATTTGGCGGCAAATCGAATGTAAACAAGGTAAAATTGAAATTGATGCGATGTTAATCGATTCTACAGAAGCTAATAAAATATTAATTAATTGTGCTGTGCGGTGAAGCCCAACTCTGGAAACAAAAAGGCGTTGTGCCATTTTATGTAGTATTTTGTTTTTTTTTTTTTTTAAATATTATTACCAGCCGTAAATGTATTAAAACAATGGTTAAGTTAGCTTAAAACAATACAGATTTTAATAAAATTATATTTATTTATATAATAAATATATTGCATATAGGATAAATAAGATAATCTGTGCAATATGTGTGTAAATTATGCATGAATTACTTACATATAAAAATTCCTTAAAAAAAAAAAAACAAATGCTTATTTTGATTTCATAATAAGAATATTGTAGCATTAAAAGATACTAGATTATGTATTAAAAGCGAATCTATATTTAACTTCTCGATGTCGTATTTGTATCCAGATTTGATTATATACCAGTCGACCCCCCTATAACACTGTTGATTATTCCGTTTTATATGAATTCCATGTTGTACGAGTCACTTAGATTTTACAAATACCTGAACCGTCCACAGCCCGGAACACGTATATGTAAAATCTAAGCGACTCGTACAACATGGAATTCATATAAAACGGAATAATCAATAATGTTATAGGGGGTCAACTGTATTTAATTGCGCGTAACGGCATATACATTAACGAATTAAAATACAGCATTGTTGTATGTAAAACTGGTAGTGATTCTCTTTTACGACTAATTGTAAACATTCGGTTTTAGAAGAAACTAACCGTATTTTATATTTAATCTATATAAAAAAGCACGCGTCATATGGATTATTTTATCATTAAATAACTTTCAAAACTAATTATTAATGTCAAAAAAATGTTTTCCGATATCTTCATAATTTAATTATGAGGGTGTTCTGATATTAAGGATATGGATGTTGATTTTTATATGACTTTTTATATACACGCAGAACTTTGTCATGGGCGTGTATGGTTATATGGTAGAACATAGTAGTAGATGGACAATGCATACTCGTGAACACATTGTCGTCTTCCATTTACTACTCTGCATTTGACGAGCAAATAAAGTGGACAGTGTGATTGAAAATGAGTTCAAGCTCGAAGTGTATACAGTTATCAGTTTTTTTGCAAGAGTAAATCAGAGTGAGAGTCAGTCAATGTAGTAATACATAATGTAGTAAAAAATATAAATTCATAAGGAAAATTATATGTGCATAACACCAGATTATTTAATTTAAAATGAAATTTTCTTTAAATCAAAAATGTATCTATAATTCAAATTATTTTAACTTAGAAATAGCATGACATTGGACGGGTTTCTAAAGACAATTATCATGTCGCTTTTAAATGCAAATTAAGACTTAATAATTTTCGTTTACATAAGAAAAGCGATTAACATTAATTTAAATAACTGTTGTAACCTGCTTATATTTTAAGGAACAACAATACTGACCTATATGAACACACACTGGTGCAAATTATTGAGGGTTTGATAAGATAAAATTAGAGAGTTAAAGTTTGTGAAATTGCTGAAATTATTGGCATTCCAAAGAGAATATTTATGAAATTATCTCATATTTAAGTTTCCATAAAGTGTCTTCTTACTGGATTTTAAAAATACTCATCAAGGAGCGTAATACTCTCCAAAAATATTCAAATACTTAAATGCTAGAGAGTATTCAAGATTTGAAATATCAAATATTATATTTATAAAAAAATAAATATAAATAATATGAATATTTCTATTACTACACCATATGTGTAGTCACGGTAGCAGATCTGGAAAGTACCCAAAGGGAAATTAACTCAAAAATTTTATGTAACAGAAAAATATTTCTTTTTTCTAAATATAGATAAATATGGGAGGAAATGGTCATATTATACCAAATACACCCATTGCCGTCGATTTATGGAGTCCTACCAAACATCCCGAAGCAAAGATTTTCTTTCTCAGTCATTTCCATTCAGATCATATTGTTGGATTGACTTCTTCGTGGAGTTTTCCCATATATACATCAGAAATTACAGCAAAATTACTGGTTGGAAAATTAAAGGTAATAGTCAAAGTACTTTTTATTATTAAAATGAATAGTTTCAATTCTATTTTATTAATAGTAATTACTCTCCACTAAATTCCATGTTTAGTTAGTTTATAACTGAATCTAGATCTAATAATTATATATATATATATACACTACACTTACGACAGAACCTTGATTATCTGGCTTGCGCGTCCTGAGGTGAACCTGTAAGTGAATACACTACATTTTGTATACTGTAATTCATAAAATAAAGTTTAAAATAATAACATATATTACAAAGTGATTTGTTTATGTTATCTTTTATCATATAACTTCAATGTGAGATAAAACATTCATATTAAAATGTAACTACGATAATACACATTTCTGTTCTTAAAACTATTGTATGTACAGTGGAACCCCGGTTAACGAACGTCCTGGTTAACGACCAAATCGGTTAATGAACTTTTATTTTGCAAAAAATTTGTCTCGGATAACGAACAAAATTTGGATAACGAACGTAACGGTATTTTTGTGTCAAATTTTAGTTGGTGTTAGGCATGCGCGAGTTAAGCATTGGTTTTCCAAGTGTTTGTGCTAATGCTTCTTTTTTCAGTTTTGTGATTTATATATTTAATCAATATGGCATCCAAGAAATAAAAAAGTCATAGTGGCAATAGAAAACGACAACGCAATATAAATGACAATGCGCTATCGCATTTGAGAAAAATTTTGATTAAAATAGTAAGACAATCAACTTTAGATCAATTTCTTGTTCCTTACGGAAAGAGTTTGTTAAGTTATGGCAATGCAACACTTGGGCGATCTGCCTAGGGGAATGCGGAAACTGGCCCCTATTTAGGCGTTACAGACGTGGAGAAAACCCGGAAAACTCCACATGGCCAGCCCGTCTGAGCGAGGTGCGAACCCACGAACGAACTCCCAGTGTTTAAGGTACGAAGACCACTTAGCCACTGGTGGGTTTTTTTACCGAAAGAGACTTCGACTCGAAGAATCTTCCAATGAAGTGCTATCCGTTATTTTTTGGAGGGGATTCTAAGCATTAAGGTTCGTATATCTCCACTTTTCTGCCACCACCTACAACAAACGAAAGTATGTACAGTGCTAGTTTATTAAACAAAGTTTACATGTTTGCTGCTGTAATGATACATACTACGTTTTCTTACATTTTCATCAAAGAAAATTACTGTATATTACAAATATGATCACAAAAATTTCGGAGACTAGAACGGATTAATTGCATTTGCATTAATTTCTATGGGAAAAATTGCTTCGGTTAACGAACGGAGTCGCGGAACGGATTAAGTTCGTTAACCGGGGTTCCACTGTATTAGCTGTTTAATAAATGGATATAAGAAATGTTTTTCTTATAAATGATTAAAATCATTAAGTTCTGAAAAGCTTAAAAGTGCTATTATATAAATCTTTTATATTTGTAATAATCGTGGCCGTCTGCTTTTATCCAAGTTTTCAGTTGTCCAAGATAGCATCAGTCCACATTACCTTACATTATTGGGTTCTTCTTGAATAGCCATGTGTTATTATTCGTGATTTAGTAACTTCCAATAAAGAAATAACTCACAAATAATAAGTTGCAGCCATTCCAAACTGTTCTTAAGGTAATCTTAAAAATATATTGATAGCTCAATTAACTGACTTTTTTGGCAACTCTGTTACATTTTTATGAAATTTGATTATTAATGTACTTAATAATATTCAAAATTCTTTTCTTCGAGTAAAAATTTATAGAAAACGATTATTTTGGACTATATTCCTGTCTTTAGGATCAAAAGTCAACAAGAAGATTCACTAAGGTCTGTAAAGTCCAGAATAAATTTCTAATAGTTAAGTTTGTCAGTCATTCTTACTAAATAATAATGTTTTGAAATCATTAAATAAAATAAATATAAGCTAAATAAAAATGTAAATATAGTTTTCTCCTTTCATTCAAATACAACCAGCAACAGACTTAGCATATAATATTATTAACAATTAAACTTAGCAACATGCAAAAGACCAGTGTACATTTTGACAGCAAAAAACAATGTTGTCCTCCTCAGCTGGTTTTTAATTCTAATTCTACAACTCTTTCAACTGACACATAACACCATTAAAAATTTTATTTTTTACAATATTATATAAAAAGCATGATTAAAATAGATTCTTCCATTGCATGTTGCTAAGTTTAATTGTCGAATAAACTTAGGCTAGCACAGTGTAGGGCTGTAGATGCCAGCCAGTAATCCGCAAATTTGCTTAAGCTGCGCAAAAAGCTTGGATCCGAATTTTTTGACACTATGGATGTGGCCTCTCAAACACTTGAGATAGGTATTGACAGCTGTCATTTTGGCATTTTGAATGTCCGTGATTGACGTGCTATGCACTATTGCAGATTAAATATTTAAATGCTGGCTTATAACTTCAAAGAGGTATTTATAGAAGATTAGTCTTTTATTTATCAATAAACAATAAAATAACTTACAATGAAATTCAAATACAGTATTAATTAATCTGTTTTATCCACGCTGAGTGTCAGTGTTATGGAGGCCACCATTATAACTGATTCATACCTTACAATGCTATAAAGTTAATTCGCGGTAAATCTGCGGACAACCTAAGCCGCGGTTAAGCAGTTTGGATCCCAATCACCGCGGCTTAATGGCCCTACACTGTATATAAGTCTGTTGTTGGTAAGTTTTACTGTATTTGTATTATTAATTTAACTGAAAATAATAGTTTTTAAAATTTTCTTTACATTTCTGCATCTGCAGAAATTTTTTACGGACTTATAAACACACCATATCTTAATTATATTTTGGCCCAGTGGATGAAACCACTAAACACTAATGGTTACTCGCAGATTCACACCTGACCAATGGACTGAATGTGTGGAGTTTTTCTAGTTTTCTACACATGTTTAATACCTAAATAGGGGCCAAATTTTCATAGAAAGTCCTTCCACAAGACGTCTTTGGCTGATTGCCCAAGTATAGCATTGCTTTATTCCACCAATCCAATTATAATTTAAACATGATATTGCTAAAGTTTTGTCTGCTATAGTTTTATTATTTTTAATTGAATCTTTATTTAAGCTATTTTAGTAATTCAATCAAAACTAACAAAATTTTAGCCCAAAAGAAAAACTGGTAATTCTTGATTTATGTTAAGAATTATTCTTATAAATAATAAAACGCTTATATTTTCAGATTAATTCAACTCTAATAAGAGAATTGGAATTGAATAAAGACCACTTAATTCCATTAGATGATGAAAAGAAAGAAATGCTGACAGTAAGACTCATCAATGCCAACCATTGTCCAGGATCTGTGATGTTTTTATTTTCAGGATATTTTGGTAATGTCCTTTATACTGGAGATTTTCGTTACTCTTCCAATCTATTGGAGGGAATAACTTTGCCCATTATAGACGTTTTGTATCTAGATAATACATATTGTTCTTCCTCGTGCGAGTTTTATAGTCGAGAATATGCCGTTCAAACTCTTATTCAACGATTACACAACTGTCTGAAGAAAAGTGATCGCATTATGATTGGAATTGATAATTTAGGAAAGGAAGAAGTATTATTAAAAATATACGAGGAAACTGAATGCAAAATATATGTAGATGATAATCTAATGAAGATATTAGAAATCTTGGAAATATCGCACGTAGCCACAACCAATCCTAAAAGTACTAAATTGCATGCAGTGCCTACCGTAAAAATCAACGGAACAAATTTGATGAAGTGGAATAAGTGTGAAGTCACGTGTGCAATTTTACCAACAGCACGCTACACAGGTTTAGGATTCATACCATTCAGTAGTTATTCAAATATTCATATAATACCATATTCCAATCATTCTTCATTTCGAGAACTGAAAGAATTCGTGAAAAAAGTTCACCCATGTCATATCGAGCCTATTATTAAAAAAGATGCACAAGGTATATTAGGTACCGATATTTCATCCAGAGCTAATATGGATGTATTTACAGAATTTATACACGTATTTACACAAAAACCAATAACTATTCCAGAATCAGTTAGGAAGTTTATGAGTAAAGTGATAAGTTCATCAGAGCAAGCGGAGAGAAAATTATCAAGAAAAAGAAGCATAGATAAACAAAGAAAAGGGAGTGAAAGTAATTCAACACAAAAAAGTACAAAAAGAGGACTGAAAAGTCTGCACGTAGAACAGGAGGACGGTTCGTCGGGTAACGTACAAGAAAATTGGGAATTAGTCTGCCTTACTGCAACTGAACCACCAAAAATTATTGTAGTCGATTCACTCGAAACCGAGTGAGTTTTATATAGAAGTACTGTTATAATCAATCAAACTACTTTTTATCCAATTTATAAAATAATTTTCTACAAGATATTTTGAGAAAATATTATTTAAAAATTTATTTATAACAGTTGTTTTCTGGCAAATAATACAAAACACCACTAACTTGATTCTTACAAATTTGAGGATAAGAAAATATTAACAATGTCATTACTAGAGATGGAAAATCCACTTCAGTTTCTGGAACTGGAACTGTTGAAATTAATTCTCATTGGTTTTATATATATAATGCTTATATCTCTCTGTTCTTAGTGTTTTAGTCTATCTGCTCCAAGTTTCTCATGCTTATTCCCTGGGATTCTTAAGGAAAATATAGACTACCATGAAATCTGGACACCCCATCTGTCCTCTGATTTCACCCCCCTTATTAACTCCTAAAATCTGCATCAGATTTTTCATATTAATTCTCTGGGATCCTGAGGAAAATATAGACTTTCACGAAATCTAGAATCCCTATCTTCTGGTTTGATCTTACACTTCGTGATAAACATAACAATGGTAAGCTAAAATAACCAAACTTTTAATATGGTTTTTGTTTTAACGTTTAGTCTTCTTTTTGGCCAGACGTATCTGTTAGATACTAATAAAAGCAAATAATTTCGAACTCCAATAACAATATAAATTTTTTAAACATCTTTATAAATTTAAAATAATCAAAACTAATTTCATTATTCCTAAAAATTCATGGAACATTTTTATTTAGTTCAAGCTCAAATCGAGATCACTTGTTCACTCAAAGAGTTCAGTGTTCCATAAAAATTGGTATTAATAAAAGTACAAAATGAAGAATGTATTAGTAGTTTTGACCAAAAGTGTCTACGCACACGGTATGGTACAGTACTTCCTAGTAATTCCGAGTCCAGAACTACCCACCTCTAGTCATTATTATATTGTTTAGTTTTTACTATTTTTATACTGTTTGACAATCTTTCTCCTTTTAATAGAAGTCACATACTGTCTTGGCAGGAATACAGTGACTGGCTAAAGACTGCCACATCTGTAATATCGTTTTGATCCCTTTCATTATTCAATATTTTTCTCCAATTTACCAGAACAATCCACAGATTCTTAATTGTTCATATTCGAATATTGGTCCATTCGTTGAGCTCAAGTTCAGTGGATATGTTTTTAACCTAAAAACAATACCCTGAATTAAAAATTAGTGTTATCAATTTAAAAATCCAGAATACTTTTCTATTATATGACCTGGAGACCTTAATGTTTAATTTAGAATAACACTCATTTTATTTTACAATGCTAAGCAAAGCAATGCACACAGGGGCTTTTAAGAATTTAATCCTCATATGAGGATTAAAATATTAAATAAAAAACCAATACAAAAAATGCAAATATATTTATTTTGTAGTCATTCAGTCCCTCCCGAGTCTACTGTATTGTGTTACTCTATATAGACTATCTACATTGTAAAAATTAACAATTATATTATGAAAAAAGAATGTGTTTTTTTTTTAAATTCCATTCTTTTAAAAAATCCTGCACATGGACTTAGTTTTATACCAATTTGTCTATATTTATTAATAAATTCTTAGAAGTAAAAAACAATTCTTTGCTCATTACAGTTAAAGTAATTAATGAAGTAGTGAAGGGACTATCGTAAAGTTAAAATATTTGTAACTATTCAGTAACAAAGGATTTTAAGGGAAGAAGAAACACCAACAAACGAATCGTACCTAACTCCATTCTCGAGATTTGGGAAAGATGGACGACAGTGGAGATTTATACTCCGGTGGAATCTTAGCCTTGAGCAACCTACTACGTGCCATTTCTAGTAGAGACCTGTCCCATTCGGATTTCCATTTTGTTGTGGTGAGTACGGAGAAGTAAGTTGATGAACAATCCCATTCTTGCTCAAAAATTTTTTAAATTCAATATTAATGTATACTCACCGCCCTTATCAGTCTTAAAGTTTTTAATTTGTTAGCTTGCTTGCTTTCTTACCAATGTTTTGTAGTTCATAAAACAGTTAAGCGCTTCACTTTTTGATTTTAGAAGATATTCATGTGTCCACCCCGAACAGTCGTCAATAAAAGTCAACAGATACTTCGCACCTCCTTGATCACCCCTATGGGACCACAACACTATGAACTAACTCCCTCCTTCGTTTGATTTGTTCTTTGGTGGAACGGCTGACGTTGACTTTTACCTTGAGTAAATACACCACATATATAACTTGGCACTGATCTACCAGTGTTTAATCCATTCATCCGCCCGCTCACTTGTTAGATTTAAGAAAGTACCATACATAAATGAAAACACCTTCCGGTAGGTGTTTTTAAAGGTAATTGGCCCCTATTCAAGCGTTACAGACGTGGAGAAAACACGGAAAACTCCACGTGGCCAGCCCGTCCGGGCGAGATGGAAATTTTCAAGACGGCTTACAATGGGGCTAAGTGTGGTCGCTCCTTACCACTTATCCGTTCTGTTGTAAACGAATGGTGAAAATATCAGGTCAGTCTGTAAGTTTGTGCGTATTTTTATCTACAAAAAAAGCAACAAAAAATTTTAATTAAATCTTATTAATACCTTTGAGCTGTAATTGTTTGATTAGGTTCTAACAGCTCAAAATGAATTACACTTGACATATCCCACCAAACAGACAAAAGAATTTTTTTTGGATGCAACCCACTTTTTGCAGCCAGTTTTGGCTGCTTGTCGCGATCTGTCCATTGTCTTTTTCTCGTCACATTATTATAGAGGACCCATTTTTTGTCTCCAGTAACCAGCAAATCAAGAAAAGGTTCCAAAGTAATGCGGGATAAAAGAGACGTGCAAATGTTTACACGTTGTTGTCGGTTAGCTATTGACAGTTCATGTGGTATCCATTTTCCTAGCTTTGAAGCTTTGTCTATGAACAGTTCCATGGGATGAATTTAAACGTTCCACAATTTCATCAACCGTTTTAAAGATGGTTCTGCTTCAACTAGTGCAGAGAGATCATCATCATCAAAGTCAATGGATCTTCCAGTACGAGCCTTATCCTCCACACTAAAATCATTATTTCTAAATCTTTCAAACCACTTCTGCGCAGTCCTTACACTAATTACAGTTTGATTATGAACAGTATTTAATTTTTTGGCTGCATTTGTAGCATTCTCATCACTTAAAAATAAAAAGTATAAAACATGTCTCCTATATTCGTCTGTTACTTCCATTTTAACGAAAATAAACAACTGAAATATTCCCAATTCTGAGCAGTATTACAGTCGACCCCCCTATAACACTGTTGATTATTCCGTTTTATATGAATTCCATGTTGTACGAGTCACTTAGATTTTACAAATACATGTGCCGGGCTGTGAACGGCTCATGTATTTGCAAAATCTAAGTGACTCGTACAACATGGAATTCATATAAAACGGAATAATCAAGTGTTATAGGGGGGTCGACTGTATATGAATGCGATGCAATTTAACACTTCAGTGTAAAAAGTATCACATTAGACTGGCATTTTTAACTGCAAAACAAGATTTTTCTCAAGGTCATAAAATACGCACGAACTTATGGACTGACCTGATACATCTTCATTCCACAGTTAAAATTACATTAAATTACAGCCGTTATCTGATTTAATTGCATTGTTAACAGAATCAACAATCAAACTCATAATTGAATTGTTCTCTTGTTATAAAATATCGGTGAAGAGTAAGAAAAAACAAAGTATACTATTTTAATTACTTCTTATTTTAATGTTTTAAATTGCTAATTCATCGTAACTCTTGTAAGTTTTATAGGATATCATCTGCAAATCAAACAGAACAGAATGAAGGCACCAAAGACGATCCTATAAGCGACACTGAGATGATGATCCAAAATGAAGTTGTGGAACCTGAAGAAATCCTCCCAGAACAATCACAAAGAGTGGTAACAGATAACACAGATAAGATGTTTACTGATAGTGAATTTCCCGATGATTCGGGCGATTATTCGACAATCGAAAATGATCATCCCACTGACGTAAACATGGAAAGTTCTTCCACCGAAATAACAATGAAAATTCGCATATAAGAGAGGGAATCACAGATTGGTTCTTTCGCTTCTTTAATTAATTTTCCATCCCTCGAATGGTTACATCACTGATCAGAAAAAGAAAACGTGATTTTGATGAAGAAGAAAATGAAAATCCTCTTACATTTGAAAATGAAAATCCTCTTACAATGAAAAAACATTTTTACAATTATCAAAATGGTAAATTAATGTAATAAAATCTCATTTTATAATTGATTTTTGTGTTATTAAATTACGCTATTGAAATCAGACTGGGTGCCACAAGGACTGATTTAGTCCCTGGCCTCAATTACGAGGAAGCAAAAAAATGCTACAAATTATTTCACTTCACTTTAACACACATAATATTTCTTTATAACGGTTTTATGTTTTAATATACAGCCAACCCCCTTTAAACTACCACCATTGGAAAGGCGAGGGTGGAAGTTTATCGAAAACGGCACGCAACTAGGAATGTCAGGATAATAAGAATAACTATCACTTCTTTCATTTATATTTATTGTTTTTCGCTTATTAAAAACCTATATAAATGTATCCAACGAGTCCACATGCATCAGATAATGTTTTATTGTCTTGGACGTCATTTCATGCCACGATTTTCTAATTAGTCACAGTCAGAGCCGGCCCTACCATAGGGCGAAAGGAGCAGCCGCTCCAGGCGCTAAGTCCTAGAGAGCGCCTCAGTGGTAAAGAAAATTAAAGGGTATAAATTTGGGGCAACCAAGGGCAGTGGCGTAGCGAGGGGGTGCAAGGGGGTGTATCAAGCACCGGGCGCCACTCGCAGAGGGGCGCCCAAATGGTCTCCAAGACAAACTATATGTGTTTCTGGAGGAGGCGCCAATAAAGTGTCGTGCCCCGAGCGCCAGTTATGTTCGCTACGCTACTGACCAAGGGGGCGCCATAATAGGATCTCGCTCCATCCTAAAACTTGCCTCGCGCCGGCACTGGTCACAGTGCAAATTTCAGAGACCTTTCAATAGGTTTTGTTTGTTTGCAGGCAACGCAACGCAATCTGTCTTCTGGTATGTCTTTTTAAGGGTAACCAGCCCCTATTCAGGCGTATAGACGTGGAGAAAACACAGAAAATTCCGTGGCCAGCCCGTCCTAGGCAAGGCGCTAAATGCAATGATACTAACAGAATATTAAAAATTTTAGTGTGGCACCATGAATTACGGAACGTTATTAAAAATAACTTTTATATTATTAATCTATTTTAAGAAAAAAGCGAAATAAGCTGTAAGATTTCTGGACTTAAATCCCATAAAATGTGTTGAATACTGAGAGAAGAAAATTTGCATACAGTAAATTTAAATATAATACACTAGAATTTTTTTACAGATCATAAAAATTGAATTTGCACGAATAAATTATTGTATAGAAAATTTTACATCACGCAACAAACGTCTCTTAATTAAAGTCTGTTTACAGCATTATAGAATTAATGAGATAAGGCAACGTAACACATGGATCTACCAAGAGAAATCTATGGGAGGAAAATCCGGAAAACTCCATGCTACCAGTTGAATGAAGTTACATTTCATCTTTGTATGTATGGAAACTTTTGGGACACCCTGTATTTTCGCGGTTAAATAATCGATTTAATCGTCCATAGGTTGCTCAGCACACATAATCCACAATGCAGTTCAAACTGCGGCAGATTTGCTTCCTTTAGACATTGAATAATTGGCAAAATTTATAGTCATTTTTTACATTTACACGGTTCGAGTATAAAATCTGAAGCAATTTTGTATTGTGACACAGTGGTAGAATACAAGAGATTATTAGGGATATCGAAAACAAGATGGCTACCTCTACTACCCGCAGTTGGAAGAGTGTTGAAATTGTTTAATTCTGTAAAGTTAGTTTGCATTTAACTACGAAAACTTTTAAAAGTGTATTAATGAAAGCTAGAATATGGTCCTTCGCGGTTCCTTACAACCTCAACGGGGTAAAATTGGTTCTCTGTACGTAGATACTAATGAAAGTCGAAGAGAGAACGCTTTCTAGATCGATACGCAAAACGATCGCGCTGTGGTAATGATCGATTACAATTGTACGATTTTAACCAAATGCAATATAAAATGAATTATACTCTCTTCCTTAAAATCAAATCGATTTTGTTGCATATCGGAATTGCAATAATACCAAGAGGAATCGAAAAATCATACAAGCAACGAAAAACCAACAAAGCTGTGCGCAGTGGTTATAAAAGTAAGGAAATTAACTCAATTTTAGGATGAATTCGATAAAAAACAATATGCAAACTTAGGCACCGACGAGATTCGAACTCGCGATCTCCTGTTTACTAGACAGGCGCTTTAACCAACTAAGCCACGGCACCTGCTTATTCGCAACTGATTTGCTGGCTTGTATTAAATTAATAAATAATGTTGTGTTTCCACATATTTTTCATAGATTTTCTAGCTATTGCTTACGACAACATAGCCGAAGAACAACAGATAACAAGTTTTGGGAGATGGTTTTAATACAGATACTGGATCCAAAGTTAAATTCGATGTCGAAACAGAAGAGGTCGCAATATGCCAGATAGCTTTCATCAACAGCCAAGAATCTCACTACTGAGAATAACCAGAAAATTCGATAAAATGTAACGTGAAGAGCATTCCAGTTACAGTGAAGTTGTTCGAAACGAAAAAGAAATGAAATAGCAAATAGAAACAACAAAAGAGGCACCGACGAGATTCGAACTCGCGATCTCCTGTTTACTAGACAGGCGCTTTAACCAACTAAGCCACGGCGCCTATATATACCACCATCGTTTGCCTCTTCTTATTGATAACTGATGTGTTTTTAAGATCGACCTAACGTTAGAAAACAGTCACGTCACCCCTACGATCGACCGCTGTTATACCACCGACATAGATTCTGCCAGTAACCATAGGTATATCTTAACCCAACTGAACACTACTAGTAATACTAATAATTATAGTTTTCACTATATTCACTATACAAAAAGGTTCCTTGGTGGACCACTGAGCTAGAAAACAAGAAAAAAGTAATTAGGAGATAATTTAGGAATGAACAGGACCGGGACTTAGAGACCAGTACGAACGAACACAACGCTTACAAAACTCTTATAAATAAAACAAGGACACACTTGGAAGGATTTCTGTACCAACACTTGCGGTCGCGATCCCTCGTCAGAACCGTACTACTTAGCTTGTAAGGATAAACGCCTTACAAGCTTAAACCCGCTACTATCCAGCTCTCTGATGGTCGCTACACTAACAACACGGAAGATACTATCACGCACATTCTCACTAACCTTTACGCTTCGAATGACCCACAGCAGGATGTCAGTACACCAGGGGCGTGCCGTGACATTTGATGATAGTGAAGCTGTGTTTCTGTAAGAAGCCGACATCTAGGGGCAATCAGTCAATTGCGCGTCAGTGATGGTCTAGGGTCTATTCGTATCGTTTATTCTAACCTAACTTTATCTTAACCTAACTTAAACTAAAAATAAAAAAAGTAGAAGGGGAAATGAGAAGAATTAAAGAACAGAAGGGTACCCAATTTTCCAGTTGGTTCTCCACAGTTCCTCGTCTGTTCTCCTCTTACAAGTTAGAACAACTCGGGTCCGTTTTGGGTTTTTTTTTCTCTATAATCGTCGATCGGATTCTTCTACCGATCCGCTTCTTACGGCCTCCTTCTGCAGCGCTCCTCGACTTTCAGTTCGAGAGCCCGCTGCCACTCGTCTGTCTCTCTCCGAGTCCGACCTAAGAATGCTTCTAGAAACTCTTCCTTTTCCCCTCCAGCCTCGTTTTCTCCTCTTGTTCTAACGCTACCCCCTGATGGGTTAGGGGTAAGGCGAGTTCTCGGAAGTCCGAGACAAAGGAACACAGAAATCGGAAAGAAGGAAAATTCTACAATTTAAACTAAAACTATACAGACTAATAATAATAATAATAATAAAAACAGGCATGTAGCCACACTGGTACATACAAAATATTCTTCAATTATATGAATATACTTTTAAAGAAAATTANTACGCAAAACGATCGCGCTGTGGTAATGATCGATTACAATTGTACGATTTTAGTTTTATATGAATTCCATGTTGTACGAGTCACTTAGATTTTACAAATACATGTGCCGGGCTGTGAACGGCTCATGTATTTGCAAAATCTAAGTGACTCGTACAACATGGAATTCATATAAAACGGAATAATCAAGTGTTATAGGGGGGTCGACTGTATATGAATGCGATGCAATTTAACACTTCAGTGTAAAAAGTATCACATTAGACTGGCATTTTTAACTGCAAAACAAGATTTTTCTCAAGGTCATAAAATACGCATGAACTTATGGACTGACCTGATACATCTTCATTCCACAGTTAAAATTACATTAAATTACAGCCGTTATCTGATTTAATTGCATTGTTAACAGAATCAACAATCAAACTCATAATTGAATTGTTCTCTTGTTATAAAATATTATTACCTCGGTGAAGAGTAAGAAAAAACAAAGTATACTATTTTAATTACTTGTTGTTTTAATGTTTTAAATTGCTAATTCATCGTAACTCTTGTAAGTTTTATAGGATATATCTGCAAATCAAACGGAACAGAATGAAGGCACCAAAGACGATCCTATAAGCGACACTGAGATGATGATCCAAAATGAAGTTGTGGAACCTGAAGAAATCCTCCCAGAACAAAAGAGTGGTAACAGATAACACAGATAAGATGTTTACTGATAGTGAATTTCCCGATGATTCGGGCGATTATTCGACAATCGAAAATGATCATCCCACTGACGTAAACATGGAAAGTTCTTCCACCGAAATAACAATGAAAATTCGCATATAAGAGAGGGAATCACAGATTGGTTCTTTCGCTTCTTTAATTAATTTTCCATCCCTCGAATGGTTACATCACTGATCAGAAAAAGAAAACGTGATTTTGATGAAGAAGAAAATGAAAATCCTCTTACATTTGAAAATGAAAATCCTCTTACAATGAAAAAACATTTTTACAATTATCAAAATGGTAAATTAATGTAATAAAATCTCATTTTATAATTGATTTTTGTGTTATTAAATTACGCTATTGAAATCAGACTGGGTGCCACAAGGACTGATTTAGTCCCTGGCCTCAATTACGAGGAAGCAAAAAAATGCTACAAATTATTTCACTTCACT